GTAGGCGTTGTAGTTCTAGTTACGAAGGCTTGATTTTCTTCGAGATAATTATAAAACTTATGTATTTCTCCAACACTATACAAACCTTAAATAGGTCGACGGCGCATCGTGTATCACCTACCATCCTTCCATCCATCCAAGTAAAACCTTGTCTGACCTCCAGACGGTGACGTTTAACTAACTGTATTTTTTTCAAACCTTCTTTATAAAATATCACTCATTTTTATCGTCTCTACACGTCCGCATATAATTAACTCGGTTAGTGGAAAATTTTGAAGTCAGAAGATAACAATAAATTTCCTTGATTAAAATGAGTTTTAATCGAAACCTGTTTGAAACCTAATACGAATCTATCTGAAGCAGCTAATGTAGATGAGGTACTTTATGTTCTTGTTGGTCGCCTTGACAGTTGCCGTTTTAAAACAAACATCTATGGTACTAGATGTGTCTTAAAATATTAACGTTTTTAGCCTTTTTTTCTTCCATATATTAACTAATTTTTTTTTAAGTTAAGACCTACTAAGTATTGAAAAAATATATTCAACATTTATTATGGCAACAATACCAATATATACGAAAATTATAACTACAATTAAACTACGAGTTTTTTTAACTTGTTTACAAAAAGTTTTTTAACAGCCACTGTAATCTATTATCCCTGTATATGAAATAAAAAGATGAATAAAATATAAACGGTTAATGTATGGTATATCTAGGCTTCCTATAGCAAGGTTAAATTCTACAGCTGTTGCCACTGCCGTGCGCTATTTTGATAAACGTTGATATATTTTCCTTATGTTTATATATATATATATAAACATAAGGAAAATATATCAATTTTAATATATATATATATATATATATATATATATATATATATATATATATATAAATATATGTATGTATATTAAAACAATTATTTCAAAGACTGATTAACTATCTTTGTGTCTTTATATATATATATATATATATATATATATATATATATATATGTATGTATATTAAAACAATTATTTCAAAGACTGATTAACTATCTTTGTGTCTTTATTATCGTGTACTCGAATTGCTTTTAATAAACAAAATACAGGGATGAGAATCGAACCCGCTCTCATATCTTCGTGATATATAAGTTAAATTTCTTATTAAAACATGCTGGCGTAGAATTAAGCAGATAAATAAACTTATTAGTTAATATACGAATATCTTTTTTTTTAAATAAAAGCATGATGGAATGTGTTATACATAACATCTCACGCTGTCGCCTTATTCTGGCTTCAGATATTCCTACCACCGATTCAATATTACGATTTCAAGAAGTCCAACATTTCTCATTTTTTTTAAATAAAAAACAACGTGGCAGAGCCGGTACAGTTGAACCCACAACCTGTCTATTCATTGTTACAAGTACACCAACATACAATAAATTTGTATCCATAGACTTGTCCTAGGTTCGTGGCCCGCATGTACATATACCTATGAAAATTTTCAAGTCTAACCGTTCTCTCTAGATGCACGCTCACTAAGGAGTGGTGGATAGGCGATAAAGAATATAATATCGATAAACAGAGACTAGCCGATAAATAAGGTAGATATATCGCAATTTGTAGGCAGCAGCCATTCCACCATTCCTGCCGGTTAGCATTGAGGCTTCACGGGTGAAATATAGCCCGGGTACATGCGCGTCGAAAAGGTGTTATTACATACTTAGAGGAATGTACTGTTCTGCATGTACGTAGATAGTGGATACTATGTATAGTGTAAAATTTATTATTTTTTATAACCTTTTCATGTTGCTATAATTTTTTGCCATACAATTCTTTAGGAAAAAATCTCGTAAAAAACGATGGAACAGTTTATAACGCGATATATATCGCATTAAAGTGTTTTATTTAAACTCGCGTAAACTATAGGCAATATTAAAAAAAGACTCTTTTTTTACAGCTAAGACGATCATCTTAAATTACATTGAATATGACAAAACATACATATTATTACAACAATATAATTTTTTTATCGTAATAAATGAAATCCCAAATTTTCCTGATTAGAGAAAATACATTCACTATTTCCTTCATTATAATTTCAAAATTCATTTTTGGTTATAAAAGAAATATGTAACTAAGTATTGTCTGTGCTTTACATAATTAGTTCACATTCGACGGTTTAATATACGAAATATATTAGTTAGCAATAATAACTCAAATGTTTTCTGTTTATTAGTGTTTTTTAACAGGTTATTACATAGTTCAAACAGGTGTTATACTGTTAATTTATTATATATTTCCGAAAGCAATTTCGTACGCGACTGTACGGACTAGTCGTCCTTGCTAGGATAAAGCGCGGTTTACTAATCATTTCCTTTACCATTTTCATCTATTTAGGACGCGATGCCGATCTGACTTAACAGAGCAATTTTCAAATAATTAAACGCCTTTGCAAAATTGTTTATGGATTGTAAATGATCCTATTTATAGCCAATTTATCCTAATGCTCAAATTATTTATTTAAGGTAAGTAACATCGTGTTAAATCTGGGAAACATTTGTTTTATTTTATAAAACAATTTAACAGTTAACACGAAGATATTAGTTAAATACGCCAGTTATTACAGCGGCTGCATTAGAAATGATGGTCCATCGTAACAAATTCGAAAAAGCTAATACATTTCGCCTTTGAGACGGTTAGGTGTTTTATTTATAAGTAGTACTACTACTACTCCCGAAAAAAAGAACAGACTGAATCATTTAGACAGAATTAACCATCGAATTTGTTTTTTGTAACTTGGCAAACTAAGCGATAAGATATAAATGGACCAAATGAGATCAATATTCAAAATCACTTTTATGAAGACCCTTTAATTATTATTTTTTTAAGTTTTTAGGTCAATATTATTTAACTCGACTCGTTTGTAACACTTTTCGTCGTTGACTTTGCTTACATATACCATCCTTATGAAAATGTCAAACTAAACAAGTTTTCATCTGTCTAATTACGTAAATTAATTTTTGAGGTTTTTTTTTATTAATTTTAGCATGAATTTAAGGTAGTTCATAAGTTTAATATATAATCTAATGTCTCAAAGTGTTTTTAGTGAAAATCAAAGTAAACATTTTGAGAAAATCACGATTTCATATCAACAAATTTTTTTTAGTAACATTATTCACCACATGTAGTTATAAACAGTTAAACTTCCCATACAAATATCCATCGTTGTCTTAAAATGCACCAACAAATTGCCTTGTAAAGCAGGAATGAAGCAAAATCTCAACACCTGTATCGAAAAGCAGAATTAGTATGATAATAGCTGTTAAGTATGCGCTCCTACCGATTCCGTATAATGAGACAAATGACCATCGCTGCTTGAGTACTACGCTTTATATTAACAGCCGTTTCCAGCGCGCAATGTACACGAGTAAATGCATAATTGCCCCATGTTTGTTTTGTTGAACAGTCTTATAATTGTTCTGTGATTGGTCAGTTTTTGCTTCGTCAAGTTTACGAATGATTGCTTTATGAAGTGCGATGTTCGCTATCACTGTTGTTAATGTTAATTTGATTAAATAATTGTGAACAATTTGTTCGGAGTTTCTTTCATTCGTTGGGTGTTGAACTGTTTTTTGTAGTCTGTGGCGTGGAAAAACTATCGTTAGGTTTGCGTATTTGTCTCACTATCGAGAGTGTTATGAACTCTTTGGCGTTGGTCTGGATTGATTCCTGTCCCACCACTGGACATAGGTGTTCTTTATGGGACACAGGCTTCAAAAGCTTGTTAAAGTTATTGTCACTAAATTAAAAAATGAACAATAACGACTGGGTAAGACAACATTAATGATAGAGGAGGACAGACAAGCATGCCACTTGATGGTAGGTGTAATACTCCAGCCGTAAAACATCTAAACAAGATGTGCTGTAGGCCTATCTTGGCTTTGGATATTGAAAAAACTACTAAAACCGAAACGCGACTAAACAAACGGTTTTTCATTTGTAGACGGTGATTCTAAACTAGGAGTATATTCTAGTATTCCTATAACGAATTTCCGAATATCCAAACCTAAAATAGGTCAGCACATCTTGTTGACATGTTTTACGGAGTATAATGGAGAGTAAGGAGATGTACTGGAGTATGTCACCTTTCATCAAGTGAAAGCTTGTCTGTCTTTTTCTATCATAAAAAAAGAGAAACATATTGAACCCAAGTGGGAATCGAAGAATCAGTGAGGCAGTTATTCTTTCTTTTTTTTTTTGGATCTTGATAAAATTATTTCACTCCACCACTTTCTGAAACCCATTTTATTATATGGCGTGACAATAGTTGAGTAAAAACATTTATTTCCAACAAGATATTGTTTGTAATTTCTATATTGTTTTACCTTCGTTTCTATTTTCCAATATCATTGTCTACTGAAAACGAAACGAAATTTTACTTCCAACTTAAGACTTTTTTATACCTTTAAAGATTTTTATAGTATTAGTAAAGAAACGTATAGTAATAGTATAATATATTTTTTTACATTTTTGATAAACAATGCTTCCTTCATGTTTGATTATTGTCTGTATTTGACATGAACACATTTAAATAAATTTTACACTTTGACTTTGACCACTTATAATTTTCCAGCATTCGTGGTCACGGGGGCATATGCGAAGTTTAAATTAAAGTTTTTGGTTTAAAATACATTTATATTACATTATTTTGAATGCCATCGTGTGCGTTTACGCGTATGAACGGGTTGGATATAATATTTATTAGCTAGATCTTCTGCATATATTACTTTCTCGTCAGAGCCTCCATAATTGCTTATGTTTTAATGGACGCACCAAATACACAGAGCTGTAAATAATCTTGACAACTCTTTGTCCTGCATATGTCCATCACGTGCGGTGACGTCACCACATTGTCACCAGAGGTCGTTCACTCGGCCATCGAAGCTGATTGATGGCTGATACGTGATCCCAACCTTCCTCCTTGAAGACTCTCCGCTGCTATTCAATTTTACTCCTTTATGAATTACGAATGGTGCGCTTCTGTTGTGGAACTTCGCTGGAAATTTCCATAATGTCGTGTCGAATATTTAGTCTCCAGTGCCTTTGAAACGTTGGTTCAACCTTCCACGACACAGATGAGGTATCCAGAGGCGTGGGTACATCATTCTTAAGTTTCTGGGTGTTGTTCTGAGAGGAAAAGAAGTAAGATGAAAGGAGAGATTGAGATATATATATATATATGAGTCTCATATATAATCTATATTTATATATTATATCTAATCTCTCCTCAGTGTTTCTCTGTGTTATAAATAAAATGCTAGATTATTGTCCTCCTACGTTTTAATATACTATGTACATTTAGCAATGTATGGCTAATAATCAACTGTGTGAGGGTTCGATCACCACCACCATGCTTCTGGCCATTTTTTAAATTGTTTCCGAAACTTGTTGGCCTTTGTCTGGAAATCTGAATATTAAATGGATGGTTGAAAAACACTGTCTATGGCTTACGCGAGAAGTACACATTTAAATAAAACACTTTAACGGTTTAAAACAATATATTAGTTAAACTTATTTGAAAATGATTTTTAACTAATATATCGCGTTTTAAACCGTTAGTGTTTTATTTACAATCACGTTTCGGTTTCATTCTGTTGGTTTCTTATTTTGGTAATTACTTGGTATTTCAACTTCCATTGTGCGAAACTGTGTTTGTCCTCTTCTGTCTTGAAAAAAACATACATCTAATAGAAATACGGAGATACATGGAGAAAGAGATATTGATGTCTCATACATTCGTTTATAGTATTTCGATGGTCTATAGCAGGTATATAACTAGGGCCTGTGTCCCAACTGTGGGAACTGGGAAGGCTGACAATGATTATCATACACACAACAAAGTTTCTTTATGCATTTATTGTTAACTGTCTCGGAGAAAAAGGTAGTAATTCGAAGCAACCTGGAACAATATAAGCGGCAAAAAAGCGGTTCGCTCGCGAAGACGAAATAAAACAGAAATAAAAATGGGAATGAAACAATCGAGTTGCGTTGTACAGTTGCACGAATCGATTAGAAAAAGTGCGCGATGAGCCGATGAGTCGAGACGGCCGCGCATCGGCTAAGTGCCGTATTAGGAGATGTTGGCAATAACGAAAGTGGATGCCTCACGCGCGCCCAACGCAGCGTGACCGGCGACTGGTCTTTTCCACCGCCATCTTTTTAGGCGGAGTCGACGTCCTTGCGTCCATCACAGCGCCTTAACCGTTTAGAACGCGAAAAGTTTAGCTTAATTAGTTAACGGGCTCGATGGTGTAATGGGAACAATAAAAGGCTAACAATTAACGGGTCGTGGGTTAGATTCCACCGTGTCCCATATTCTTGTCATCAATTCGTCTTATTACACTTCGTTTGAAAATCTAGATATTAAATGGGCGGTAAAAGTAACGAAAGTCCGTTTGAGACACGAGAAGCTGTAGACTTAAATCGCTTATCAGTCTCTGGATTTCTGTATATCCAAAAAAATAGGTCGACAGCCCATCTTGTTTACACGTTGTTTGGCTAGGTTGCTTTAACCAGCAAGTGAACCCCGTGCTTGCTGCTGCGTGCTGTCCTACTCTATAATAAAAAAGTAAAAATTCAAAGTTAAGCATTCACTCCACAACAATGTTACTAAAATGTCCGATAATTATAGCATTCAAAACAGAATAATTGCATACGTAATTAAAGCCAGTAATTACTGATAATAGATAAAATCACAATATTATTACCCGGCTCACATATATCTTGCACGGTCCGTGGGCTTTACTATAAAAAACGGACTGCTTTTTGTTTCGAGGTACGCGGAATCTTGACATCTAGTCGAAGTGATGTTCAGACATTTTTTTTTTCAGCAATTTACATACTTACGTTGAGACTTTCGAAGTGTAGTTATTTTATACAATGCTTAACTAGCCAACTCTGGCACAGTCAGGTGGATCTGGGTTTCGTTTTTAACTTAGGTAGTCCTCAAAATATCTGTATAATCATTAAAATCTACTATTTAGATCTGAAACAATATTATTTAATTTTTACTCTTAAAACGTCTGGAAGCTTAACCTGTTAATCGCTAGAGAAATATATTATACCTTAAATACTGTCTGTAGTTTACGCAAGTTGTATATATTGAAAAGACAGACGGTTTAAAACGCGAAATATATTTGTTAAGCTTTTTTAGAAAACCACTCGGATCACAAAACAGATGAAAAACTGACCACAGATGAAAAAGCTTTCAAATTTTGCCGCGTTTCGGTTGCAGTCTATGAATTTCCAAATACCCAAAGCAAAAATGGGTCGACAGCGCATTGTATTGGTTTGGGTATTTTACCTCCCATGCTATGAATGCCATGTTATAAAAATCTCTAATTAAGTTACATAACTTCAACGATGTAGTAGGTACAAGCAAAAATAAGCCTAAAAGCCCAGTTCGACAATACCTTGTACAAGGCATTGTCGAACTGGCATGTAATTTCGCCCTCATTGTCATTAGAAGAACAACCAAATTGCATATCCATATGCAACAGTTCAACACTTATTGTCTCTCCCCGTGTCGCCATCTTATCTTGGACTCCGTCGGTTTTCAATGCGAATGTACCTAGGTAAAAGGAAACGCTCGGAGTACAGAGGGCCAAGATACACTGGACGCTGATACAAAAGGAACATTGTATAATGTCAAGTGTTTGAAAGAGCGTTCCTGGTTGTAATGTGTTACTATTTACTGGTGTATGTACTTAGTGCTTACAAATGTATGGTTTTGACTTAAGAAAGTGGAGTACTTACACATTCCTACAACCTGGAAATACTATGGTGCGTTTACGACTACGATTTACGATGTAGTAAATTTAAAATTAAATTAAATTAATACTTAACTAACGTAATTAAAAACAAGGAATCATTATTAATAATAAAACAGATAGGAACTTTTTTATATATTCACAAATCATTTAGTGGTATTACTACTTAGATGTAGTATCTTAATAAAAATAGATAGGAACTTTTTTTTTTTTTAAAAATTTTTTTTTTGTTTTTAGTAGACGCCAGAATTAACTATGAAGTTGAAATACGAATTGTAGTAAAAGTCCAACCCGAATCTGGCCGGCACATACTGATTTCCAAAATATAACGTTTTTTATAATAGTAGAACTCTAGACTTATAGAGTAAATGATTAAATATAGATTTTAATTGATACAGTACAAATCTAATATTTTGTTACGAGCATAAATTAAAGTTTATCTTAGATCTAGTTGTTTTTAATTTGGCTCTTAATTAAACTCGGTTGTGTAAGGCTTTTACGGTCATCGTTCAGCATATCTTCCTCTTTCGGGCTGTTCAGCTGACATGAGCGAGAAGAGGTTTTCCACGTTTCGCCATCACGAGCGGACGGCGTCGTCAGGAGATGTTAGCTCCTCGATTGCTCAAAGAATCCGCCCGAAAATAATGATAAAATTGAAAATCGTTATTTTTTAAAAATACCCTTTTTTAACATGGCTCGGCATCTGCCACGTGTTTCGGGCCAAAGGGCACAGTTTATCATCGACTGTCGATATCGGCGGAAACACATTTGCATTGCTAATGCGCCGTTTCTACTCTGTCATGGTAAAAATTGCGATAAACATACACTTCAAGCGGGTTCTGGATGTTTTCAATAGTTAAATTTTGTAATATAAGTTTCTAACATGGAATAATTATAAACCATAAAATGTTTAAAATTGTTTTGTATTTCATTATGTGGATATGTTATCTACTCTTTATGAAATTTAGTTTTAACTTAATTAAAAATAATAATTATTTACATAATAAGAATATTTTTGTAGGCAAGTCTTAAAATTTTAAGTAGTATATATATATTGAAAAAATAAAAACTTTTAACGGTTAACAATGTGACAACTTATTTTTAATTTAAATAAACGACGCAAATTAAAGCCGTGACCACCAAAACGTCGGGCCGTGGTGTATATTTTTCACGTTGAAACCGTGAAGTGTTTTATTTAATTTTTTTAAGTTACGTTTCTTACGAATGACGAAACCAACCTAACCCCAAACCATTTACGAAGGGTTAACATTAACATATAAATAACAAGTGATTTGAACTATTGACGGTATTAAACGGGTCATATTTATAGCTTCGAATTAGCATACTGTCTGTTACTTTGCAGCTGCACCGACGATGCAATTTTTACAATAACTGAAATATTACCATTCAAATTATTTGTCCTTCTTTACATTGAGACCTCTTCTGATTTGCACCTGGAGGTGCGATAATAATAAGTTTTTAATCGGAAATATTACTTTCGTGAATACTAGTTTATATTATACTTACTAGCTGACCGGTAAGACGGTTCGTCATAATATAAAGTACTTCGCCCAAAATTTACTTACCATGAATACCGGTTCTTGCGAGGTAGTCTTAAAAGATTAACTAATCAGTCGCGGATATTTTTTTTTAAGATTATCTATATTAAATAATTATTTCGTGCATACTTTTCGGGTATCTTTTTTCTCGTTTTTCCACATTTCTTCACTCCTATTGGTCGCAGTCTGATTTTTATAGCCTAGAGGATTTCTCAATTATTTCTGGAACCAACACAAGAAGAATTTTTAATCTGAACCAGTTGTTCCTGAGGTGAGCGCGTTCAAACAAACGAATAAACTTTTCAGCTCTATCAGCAAATCAACATTCAACTTCTAAAGTGTAAAGACATTGGTTCTTAGTCCGTCTACTTTGATTTTGTATGTAATTAAAATGTTATTGACGTTAAAAAATATATAACTAAGGTAAATATTCTTAACTAAGATAAGCTAACACAGTTAATGTTGACACAGTGACAGAATTCTTAAACATAAGCAGCTGTACATAGACACAGATAATAAATCTATAACTTGTATACGCACACCTTTGCCATTGAGATGCAAATTTGCAAACAAAACCAATAGAAACCGATCAATTCAATAAGTACATTTAAATAATTCCTCAATTAATCAAGTGGCGATGATCAAACTCAGACGCTAAAATAAATTTAAATAAATTACTCTTTTTATGCCTTTAACGTAAAAAATTAACAGCGATTTATTTTCCGAGTAGAAATGACCCATATTGTTCGATTCCGAACACATTTACATCGCCATAAAGGAAGTTGAGTCGACAATCGGTGACATTTAATCTCACTTAAACGCTAGGAACGATCAAATGTTAATTATTTTCGTAGCATCGACCGATCGACAGTTAACAATCGACGGAAAAGACCTGGTTACTAAGGTTATCTTTGGAAATCTAACGACGAAATGAAACGTCGTTGAAGGAACACACGGTTTTACAAATTTTATAGACGGCTTCCGTATACAAATTGCTAATCAAATTATACGACTACTGTGCATCAAAAAAGCCGTCGAAACGATAAATCCACTAAATAATAGTTATCGAAAAATAAGCTAAAACATTATTGTCATCCGGAAAACATAAAAGTATTTCAAACGAAGACAATAGAGGGAAGACAATGGTGCAAAAAGGGCCGAGGTGCTTTTTTTTTCGATAAAAAATGTTGTTTTTTGCGAAAGGCCCGACAATCAGTGCGCCCGGGACTTTTTTCGGTTTGTTTATTCTGTCGGTGGAGCTGTGTTATGTGTTTTTATATTAAAAATCGTTCGAGTCGTAAAGATAAAGGAGATATTATGGTAGGAGTCCAGGCCGTTAGCTTCTGAGAACTAGACTGCATTCGATCGAACGCTATCACAACAATGTCGGACAATATTTTATTTCTTGTTACTAAAGATGTATCATAATCAGAATCTTTAAACGCAGAAATTATAAATAGTATTCATATTTATTGATCTGTAATGAGACACTGTTATTTTAACCAAATCTATTTAGGTGGATAGATTTTACGGAATGTAATCTTGAGTATTCAAGCAGTTTTAAAATTTTGACGTAATTAGTAATCATTTTAATCTCTAAGGCCTATTTTTCATCATCAATTATTACTAATAAATACAAGACCAGAAAGTACGATCGACAACGTCGAAAAGGATTTTACACTAACCTATTTTTATTTTAGCTGTATATTCTTAAATACTAAACACTAGGCACATAAGTTACAAGTATTATTTTTGTTTTGCTTCCCATAACATATTTTTACATCGAAATAAAACAGAAATAATAAAGAAAACATTCGTTCACTATTTATCCTCAACGTGTAACTTGGTAAACATGAAACACTGAAAAACAATATTTTCAGTAAAAAATAAATATCACACAATATTTTTGATTCCTGTATTGAAACAACTGGGGCTATTACATTTATTTACACAGTCGGCGATGTGTAATTGGCATTGTAATTCTGAAATAGTTATGTAAATGTAACTAAAGATGTATTTTCATCATGTGAACACCTTAGTTGTCTTTCTTCCTATGTCAAGTCCAAAATCGAAAGTTCAAAGCACGTCCGAGGTTATTTTTTAATTCTAATAGAGTTTTAAAAATTGAAGTTAAAAGTATCGATAAGCAGAAAGAGTCCAAATAATTTTCCTTAATACAAGCTCTAAAAAAATTTTCCATCGATAAGTAAGTATACGTTAACATGTGCATAACTGTTCAGTGATTCCTGCAAAAGCAAGATACAGCAAAATAACGGCCTCAAGGGTCGCTTCCGAAAACCATGAAGGAAGTAATTACATATTCTAATCCAAATCGGGCACCAGACGTCACACACAATAAAACCAAACACCGAAGTAACGGCAACTCTTTCATCGCGCCTGAGAAAAAAAATTAACCGCATTCTTGAGACCCTTCCAAAAAATCGCGTACTCACCTATAATCTAGAAAAACAAAACACCCCCCGCACACAAATTCCCCTCTTAACGTGATCAATAAAAGACCTATATTCGCATATCGCTCGGCGTGTGTGACTTAAAAATTTATGCGCGCATTTGCATAATGTGCATAGCCCCTAAATTTTATTGAATAAAAAAATAGGATGGGTAGAGCTTTTTTGCATATTCGTACAAAGGAAACGGGTTAAACTATTCAGGAAGTGAACTGTCTCGCATTCGCGGGTGAGAAATCGAAGTTCACGGTATAATTATAAACCTTAAGCACAGAATGAAAGGGCACAGTTGCGAATCGACACCGCTCCGCTCAGATCCCTTATGGCACCCCGGCGCGAAGCACAATAACCGAAATGTACCTGACTGTAATTTATGCGAGAATATTAAGAGAAATGTACCTGCCCTTTTTGAATATTAAGTGCAACCCCTGACATTAGTGAATAGGGTTAAGATACCATTTGAATGGCGCGTAGAGAAAAAACGCAAATAAACTGTCCCCGCGCGCAGGTAGCGACCGTGTCCCGAAGGGAGTTCATTCTATTGAATTCGCGAAGGAATCGCGAGATGCACTTGTCACCTTGCACCGTAATTTGGGCTGCTGCAGCTTCTTATGCAGAACGGAGGGTCGCACAGATAGTTCGTTTTTTAATAGCGTTTTTTTCTTAGGGGCCGTATGCAAAGATTTATTGTTCGATATCGGGATGTGCGTGAGAAATGAGATAATCGAATTTGCCT